TTCATCTGCGAGGGCAGCAGATCTTGTATCTTGCCATCAGCAACCTTCTTCAGTTTATCGGGCAAAAGGTCAAGGACTTTGCCATTGGCGACCTTCTGCACCGGGTCGGGCAAGAAGTGCATCAGCTTCCCTACCTTCGTGAGCGATCTGGCAAGGCATGCCGTCACGTGTTTGTGGTTGGGGGTGCCCCTGCAGGTGTCCTTAAGCTCCCATCCGATGTGGTAAAGTATCTTCATCTGCGAGGGCAGCAGATCCTGGATCCTGCCATCAGCAACTTTCTGCACCTTGTCGGGCAGCGCGGGCAGGTTTACGGTTTTCTTGCCCCAGTTGAAGTCGTAAAGAGTCATCTTTTGATTCATGAGGGAAACCTTGCAGTGCTGGCGCCCGAAGTTGATTTCCAACTTTCTTCCTCTCATGCCAAGGCTAGGAGCAGCATTGCTGCAACTCGCATCCCAATCGTCGAAGCCTCTCGAGGATCAGGGGCAGCCATATGCCGAAACATGAAACCTCGGCCACGACACGCTCTGTGCCTTCAGCTCTCACCCCGCCTGCCGTCAGGATCGACACGGCCATCTCCACTGTGGAGATTGCGGTGTTTGCCACGAACTTCGCGGCATTCCCCGCCTTTTTGGCGGCCTTGTAGGCCTCGGTCAAGGCGCCTCCCGTGAGTCCGGTGCCGTCCAACCTACAGGGCTTAAGAGGGTTTTCCGTAGGTCGACTTATGGGGTTCTTGAGGTGTTCGTAAGCGGCTTTTGCAATAAGGGTTGACAGTTGGACCCCAGTGGGGCCCACACAAGTCTTGTAGGGGCTTCAGGGTGATGTAGGGTCGAAGTCAAGTCGGACACAGGGGGAAATCTTGATGTTCATTTGCTGTCTTCTGCGGCGGGTATTTTTTGGCAAACCCCCACGTTTTGACGGCTTTGTCGACTCCCTTGTGGACGTACTTGACGCCCTCCTTGATTCCCTTTTCGATCTTTTTCTCGATTCGGCGCCTCAGGCCGGGTATTGGAACTCCTGGAATCAAGCCTTCGCGCTTTTGGAGCAGGGATCTCGGCCACTGTCCGGGGCTGATGCCTTCTGAAACCTCCTCTTCCTCCAGCTCCTCCTCCTCTTCATCTGCGTGCGCTGCCTGCTTCGGCTTCTTGTGGGCCTCCGGATGGTACTCCCGGTGGTCCCGCTGGTGAGCATGCTTCTGGACCACTCTCTTCAAGACGTCATGCGCTTCCTGCACTCTCTCCTCGGAACTCTTCTGCTTCTGGGCCATTGAGACTCCTGCTTCATCAGGATCAACTTTCTTCTGCAGCTTCTCAATTAGAGCGCGCTGCTCGCCGAGCTCCTTCTGTGCCATCCCGAGCTCTGTCTGCTGCAACTCCGCCAGGGTCTCAAGTTGGGCAACCTTGAGCATCAAGAACTCCAAGCTCTTGCCTAGCTCGCCGATGGCGCCACCCTTGTCTCCCTTGTCTTCCGGATCTGGCATGTAGCCGAAGTCCTCGACATATCAGATTACACAGGGTTGCAAACAACCGGGGTCGGAAAAGAAAAAGGCAGTCCTTCATTTCACCGACGATGGTCTTGGCAAGAACTTCGCTCACGTTCTGGTCCTCTTCCGACATGTTGCCAGCGTCGGGACCGGTCGTGTTCAGGGAAATGCTCGAAAGCTTGAAAGAACCGACCTGCAAATTCTGGATTCTGGATTCTCACAAGTCACACCGTTCCGTAAACGGACTGGAAGCAAAAGGTTAGAAGACCAAACTCTTGCCAAGGGACATTCGTCATACAATACATCCAAGCAAGCCATGTCGGAAACTTGCTACGGGAAAGCATGGCCGACCGTGTAGGGGACCAAGCTCCACTTGCTTCGTTAGATGCAGGTAGCTCCCGCCACACTACTCGGAAGACGCGAGGCCATCACCAAGGAAAATCTGTGGCAGAAAAGCTCGATGCAACACGGCCGCATGAGCACAACCCAACTCCATGAGGGTTTACAGGACCATGGTGGGCAGCTTCGAAAGCAGATGCAAAGAAACTACGGCTTCAAAATTAGAGTGCTACGCATGTCCATTCTGTGCGCGCTTTCAACCTCTCCCTCTCTCCCTCTCTCTCCCTCCCCAAGGCAACTGTGCCTGACCATGCACAGGGCTCCCTGCTTGATGCCAGCCTTCTCCTAGCCCGTTGCAGGTTTTTACGGCTAAGGCGGCTAAGGGTTGCGGATTTAGGGTTGAAGGTTTAGGGTTTAAGGCGCTACCTTTACCTTGCCTCCTGCATCAGGTCTGAAATCTCAGATTTATCGTAGTCTCACGTCTTAAGGTATCTGAGCTCTCGGAGTCCTTCACATCGCAGCACTTTTCGATGCTCAAGACCATTTCAACCAAACACTCGCAACAGCCATTGTCCACAGACGCAACCTTACCGCGACCGCATCGATTTGCAGGGTCGAGTGCAGAAAAACTGCACCCTGAACCATCCTGAGCCCTAAACAAGCCTAAACCCCCTAGTCACGCAGCTGCCCAGTGGCAGGAAGGCGCTGTAGACCTGGGAGGTTTAAGCTAAGGGCGCCAGAGACCTGAACCCACTGCATCCGCAGCGCTCAACAAACCCTACAACAACAGATTCAAAGTGATTAAGGCCTCATCCCGGGAAAACATGTCTTGGTAAGAGCAATCATCGTGTTTCAAAACTGAGGTTTAGAAAAGCCTGCAACCTCTGCATTACTTCTGAGCCTTTATCTCCCAGACTGCCCTGGCCTTGGCATGGGCTCACGCCGTCGCGGCTCCATAAGGGTGGAGGGCAGCCCTGCCGGCTCAGGTTATCTTCGGGCTTGGCCTTCGACATGCTTCAACTCTTTGTAGCAGAGCACTACCCCAACCCTAAACTCTAAACCCTAAACGCATCCAGTTCGAGGCTCGGCTCCTACATTTTGCTCCACGGCCCAATCCGAGCTTCCTGGAGTGCAACGTAGAAGAAAAGCAACTCACTACTATGCCGCTACGCGGCATAGTCTCACTTTGCATGCTTTAAAGCCGACGCGGGCACCGCGACCTTGGAGCCACCGGTATCCGGTCCCTCGTAGCGCATCTTGAAGGCCTCGCCGCCGCCCATCTCGCACATCTCCACCACGAGGTGGTGGGTGCCTGCCGGAAGGAACATGC